ATTTTTTCTGTAATCTACACATTTTGTCCAATCTATTCAGAGCGACTCAGGCATTGTGATAATAGAGGCCCATATCTGCCCAGACCGGGTAGGAAAATCTGGCTCAAACTGACAATGGAGGTTGCTTTAAACTTATAGGCAAGCTACCACGCACAGACACACACAAGAGCTGTGCTTAGAGATTAGTGAACGGCGAATAATTTTGCTACACATCCCATATGCTCGCTCTGTATGGAACAAAATGTGCTAGATTTTATCACACTGAAAGTTTTATGCTCTGTAGTCTTATGTAATATTGAAAGTGGGTCTGGATCTTAATGAGTGAGGAAAATGCATTAGAGAAAATGAATAGATAAAAAATGCACAAAAAGGAGTATATTCAGTGAGATTTGCTCTCCCTGGGAAGCAGAGACAACTCATTAAGAGATTTGCAGATTGCTGCATCTTCCAAATAATTTAATGTACTTGCTTATCGTTTATGCACAAATGCTTCAACCCACTAACTTGACCTGTTCCATAAAAATACCACCTGGTGTTTTTCTGTTTTTCCTATTTGGTGTGCGTGGTAACGAAGCTGATGTTGCCTGAAAGGGAAGGAATTCTTCTGTGTTTTGGACATGTCTGAACACAACAGACTTGTGCTGGAATCTGAGCTGAAACTGATGAACACACTCGTGCCTTTAACTCCAGGATGCCTCAAAGCTGTTTGTGCTTTATCTTCATTGTTATCTACACTGATCAATATTACCGATTTAAGATCCTTTTAATGATATGACAACTGCTCAAAAAAACCCGGATCACTGTTCGTGGGGCCGAGTCTTGTTTCCTTTCATCGCATGTCAGTCATTTAATGAGTTTCTATAGAAAATTACTCACAATGCAAGACCACACCTGCTACAGGTGCACTCCCTGCCAGTTAAAGTGACAGAAGCAGGCAGCTAAAGAAAATCAGATCTGATCAACAGATGGAATCCCCTTTCCCCGCTCTCATAATGCAAACTGGACCTTTTACCTTCAGGGCGTATTTAGTTTAACTTGTTTCAATTTTAGTCACTGATGGAGCAGTTTATGTGTAGATACCAGTAATGTGCTTGCTCGGTGTGAAAAGCGTAAACGCTGACGCGGTTGCAGTTGCCTTGTTGTGCCTTTGTTTTTCATTCGGTCGTTAGTAAAAGATGCTGAACTTGCAGAGTTTTGTGTTATTATTAACTTGTCAAATCTCAGATCACAAGGCAGAAACCTGAGTCAGACCCAAAGGCGGTATTTACATAAAATATTAGAGGTGTGAGGGAGACTGCATAGACAATCTTCTATAAGCAAATTTCCCAAAGACAAAACATTATGTCAAAGTTCAGGCGGGCTGATTTCACATATTGCAACATAGTGCAACAAGATTACTGTAACACTCTCCTCCTTTCGCTTTAAGGATTGGGAAACAGTGTTGATCATCCTCAAGCATGGGCGTGTGCTTTGAATATGCAAACCTGAAAGAGTGTGTGTGGAGGCGGATACATAAAACCACCTCTACCTGTAGTTACACGTATTGTTGTTCTTGTATGATCTTCATTCCAAACTCAATAGATACCGGCTTGTAGTCAGGCTGTTTCAGCACTGTAGATGGCTTTTCTGTAGTTTAGCGTACAAATATAACAAACAATACTTTGTATTTCTGTACTGTCATTGCAATTGCTGTTTCGGGAGGAGTTGTTTTCTCCCAAAGTTCTCTTTGCAGTGAGAAAATATCCCTTTAAAGCCTGATTCAAGAAGAAATGGAGATAACTTATTTAACTTTTTTGTTTGAAGTCTTTAATTGGCAAATATGAAGAAAAAACCGAGTCAGAGTCAAAACTATGTTCGTGTAGTTTTCTTCCCGCTGTTATCAGGTGCATATGATGGTGTACAATAGAGGTTTGAGCAAAGCTTTTACCACTGAATCATACAAAAAGGTCTCAGATGCAAAGCATTTCAGAAACCATATGTATCAAATATTATATGTATGGGCTTACAGGGGTTAAGTGTCACTAGTTGTGTGCACATTTCACTCTGAACTCAATGTGTGGACACATTTAAACACACGTGTTTGGTTCATGGTTCCTCATGAAACGAGCCTCGCTCGCAAACAAAGCAGATATTTCCCCAGACTCTCTTCTGTATCATGCCCCGCATCTTCAGCTTTTCATCCAGACAGCCGATTTCCAAGCCGCCACAGCACATCCCCAGCAGAGAATCTCCCGCTGTGAGGTGCATTTGGGAACATTAGTGTAGAAAAAAAAACCCAAACCAAACTGTCAGCGCATTTAAAAAAAAAAAAAAAAAAATCTAATCTGAGATGTTTACGTACGGTAGCAGCTTTAAAGGGATATTATGCTAAAGGGAACATCAAACTGCTTTCACTTTCTCTCTTTTTTCTTAAATCCCTTTTTTCATGTTCCCATCTCTTCCTGGCAGACATTAGCTCTCTGACTCTCTCTCTCTCTCTCTCTCTCTCTCCCTCTCTGTCTCTGGCTTTTCCTGTGATGAAATTGCTCAGCTCCCTGGAACAGGCCAGACCTCAGCCGCAGCAGGTGCCTCAGTGTGTGATGAATCAGCTGTGTCACCGCAACCTCTCCACGGGAAACTTCATCTTTGTTAAGACTGCTCAACCTAATTTCATTCGCCGTCCCCTGCAAAACGTATCATGGAGGCAGAGATTTTTTTTTTATGGTCGTCACAAGTCGCCGCATGCTGACTTTGTACTGATCGCAACTTAAAGTAGTGTCTATTCTGGTAGAGGATTATAGTCACATTATAGGCACATTATAGTCGGTTGTAAGTCCAATTTTTCCACCCAGAAAGAGTGAATTATCACAGAAATGTGTTCTATTCATTAGGACGAAATCTTGGGCTACAATTAGATTTTGTTGTCTTCGCAACTTTTAGGTGTCGACGGCGTTTCTTTGTTGTTGTTTTCTTAACAAGATCTAGTGACTCATTAAGCAGCCAAGAGCCAGTAGTGGGTCCAGAAACAAAATAAGTGGAGCGCCAACAAGATTTCTGTTGCCAAGGTGACGTGTGCTTGACTGAGCCCATCTGTCTGTGTCCATGTGCTCGAGGAGCCTGCCTGTTGTCGGAATGACGTGTACACTGGCAAAGCTCGCAACGCAGAGCACAATGTAAATCTGTATGGCGGTAAATAATAACCTGGCGTGATTGAAATCATGTGGTATCCTTCAGTGGATTAACAGTGATGAGTGATTGTCACGCGGCCCGCCGAGCACAAAACAGCAGACTCATCTGTGTGGATCTGTGTTTGTAGAAAATAGTTGAGATGAATGGTATTGATCTTTCAGCATCCAGAGGAGAGATTTCTCTGCTTTGATACCTCCCCTCCTTTTCAGTGTTGAAAATCAAACAAGGTGAGAAAAAAAAAAAAAGGAGACCGCCGCATTCATCAAATGCCGCAGTTGTTTGCATTCGTTCAAAGAAGAGCATCCCAGCAGTCCTTCCCCCCAGAAAAACCATGATCATTTCCCCTCTCTCTTCATTTATTTCTCTTTCTCTTTTCTCCTAAAGTTACTTTGCAAAAACAGAACTTTTATTCATCCACCATTTTATGTTGGTTTCCTGCTCACATACAATTAGTTTTAATTCACTACTTCTTCTTGACTCATGACTGTTAACCTTTAATATCCACTCAGGTTTTATATGTCAGTGATATAACAGTTCCACCAAAGAGATATTTAGTGTTTCAAATGGATTACATTTACTTTAGACCAAAGACACAACAGGATTTGTTGTACCTGATTTCTTGTTCGTGCGGACAGACAATGAAGCACAGCTGCGGCTCAACATTTTATAATAGCGCATAGCAATGAAAGCCCTGCTAACGTTGGAAAAACCAGTTTATCTCTGTTAGTGTCTCCAGTTTCTACTCATAACAAAAAGCAACTGTTGGCGCGCGCAAGTCAATCTCAAAATGTCAAACTGTAACTGTTTTTAATGCAAAATTAACCTCGGAAAGCCTGTTCATTTTCACAAAAATGGTCTTTTGTTTTTGCAAACACAAAACAGAAAAGTTGATATAGCTAATTGTCTTTGTTAGTGTGGATAGGTGTTTTCACGCTACAAAAAATAGAATGGCAAAAAGATTTCATAAAGGAACAAGGGTTTGCTAAATCAAGAGATTTTCCAGATGTTCTCAGTTAGAGAATTGTTTTTGTTGTTCTGCATGTATGCACGGCCACTAGTCAATATATTAAGCCGCATTTCAGATGTGACCCCAAATTACAGAGGTCTATGTGTGAAATACCAATTCCAGAAAGTCCTGGAAAACCATAAACCTAAAGCCTGGCACTTAGATATTCAATTTAGCTGCTTGGTTTAATTATCAGAAGCAGGATTATGCACCACCATGCACACAATAATGCAGAGCTACATACACATTCTCTGGTTGATCAATTTGTGAGAGGACTGTCTGATTCAAACATGTTTTATTTAAGTACTTGCATATAAATCATACTATTCTGCGATGTTTAAGGTGCGAGATGTTTGATATGGTCAGAAGTAATTTCTCTATTACCAATTTGGTTAAGTCAGCAAGATCTGATTTAAGCCTTAGGATTTACAGATCTTTAGGACAAATGTCCACAATGGCTTCAACTCTAAATATGTGGACTAACTACTTGATGAGTAAAGGACTCTTTTCATGTCGCTAGGGTTTCAATTTCACTTTTCATTTGGTATATCGGTGCCAGTGCAAGTGTTGCCATCTTGTACTACCATCAGCATATTATGGCATCCACAATAGAGATTCAAATATATGGGATTAACCTTCATCCATGGTTTGAAAAGTGTTAACCAAAATGGTTCTCCATACATAATTAAGTATAAACTTACCAAGTTTACACTGGTTGTATTGGCTGCTGTTTTTGGAGCACTTTTACATCAATATACTCACCAAACTTTTTATCTTCACAGATGACCCCGTCTAATGATCTTGAAACATGACATCCTAAAATAAAATGAGCGTGCAGGAGGAGAGCATACAGCCTGAAGGTGCCGAGGCCATGGCCGAAGCCTCGGCTCCTCCTCTCTCCCCCTCCGACTACAGACTCCCCTCTCCTCCTCCTGACCTGTGCGCGTCCTGCGGCCACAGCCACAAGCTGGAGGAGAACCACGAGTACCTCTACAGGGAAGAGGTGGACGACGACCTGGTCTGCCACATCTGCCTGCAGCCGCTCATCCGGCCTCTGGACACGCCCTGCGGACACACCTACTGCCAGGAGTGCCTGACCAGCTTCCTGCTGGAGAGCGACTTCTGCCCCGTGTGCCGCGCGGCCCTCATGCTGCAGAGCTGCAGGAAGCCCAGCCTGCTGGTGCACAAGCTGCTGGACAAGCTGAGCGTGGCCTGCCCCTTCACTGACCATTGCACGGACACACTGCCCCGGGGGGAGCTGGAGGACCACATCAAAAGCAGGTAAGCCGGAAGAAACGGTTCAGCCGTCTTCAGTGGACGCTAAAGTCAGATCAGTGGTCTTAATAAACACGTTTGCAAGTCACTTAGCCTCTATTTGTTGGTTTTCTGGCTCTGCTTTCTAAAAATTTCATTGACCTGCAGTAAACACCCACTCTGAGTTTCCCACCCTCCTCAGCTGGTCCTCAATAACCCAAGGCTTCAGTCCCAAATGGGAGAACTCCTCCTCCAGTTAGCCCTTTCATCTCGCCAGGCCCAGCTCCTCTGCCTATGCGTCATTAAAACGGAGCGCTTTGAATTCTCTCAGTATTGGTTTACCTTCATTAACGCTCATTAACGCTCAATTTTGATGAAATACTGCTAGGGTCATTTAAATATCTCAACAAATATCATACATGCAGCAAAGGATTTCCTTATGCATTTGAAAATAAAACTAAAAAACACAAGTTTCTCAAAAAATCCCCTCTCCCATGCTTCTTCTGGGTTTTTTTCTCTTCGCCATCATTCAGTATTTTAGCCACTCCTTTCCCTCATGTAGTGGGAATGTTATAATGAGGTGTGGATCACTGACACCGTCTCCCAGAGGGATTGGAGCTACTCTCCCACACTTAAGAGTGTTATCTGTGGAGGTGAGGGAATATTACTCTGCACATTGTGTGCCAGGATGTGAAAAGGTCTCAGTGAAATATCCATTTTACACATTTCTATTATGCTCCGGTGGCCGATGCAGTGAAGTGGATGCTGGTTAGAATGTTTGGAATAGCATATTGAGTTTGAAACTGTTTAAACGTAGGCTGATGAGAGACGTAAGGGGACAAAAAAAGTGGAAGAAATGCCTTGTTATCATGGTTTGCAAGCAGGGAAAAGTTGGAGGAGCTAAATGGGTCAAGCAAATGTCAGATATAAACTCAGGAGACTAGTTATTGCATCTAATTTCCATACCAATAGCTTTTTTTCCCCAACATGGCCTAAAACTTTTCCCAACTTCTTAGAGGTTATTATTTGAAGTTAGGCTGCCAAAGTCTCTGGAACAATAACAAAAACCTAATTTCTGAATCAAAACGCAAGCTCGCATTTGCATTATTTCTTACAACATGTGATTCAAAAATCCCTTCCGCTACAGAGTCAGAACTCTGCTCTTCTGTTAGCTCTGCAGTTTGGTTGGGAAAGGTTTTCCCTTTCCCGTAATGATAACGGGTACTATAGGAATAAAGCCAATTCAGCCTGAGAGATAAAATGCACAGCCTGTGTGGATGACATCACTCTCCTCTCCGCCTGTATTTTGGTGCAAATGATAATACAGTACATCATCCCTGGCTGTTGCTAACCCACAGGCTGGCAGTGGGTCAAGAGCTGTAATGACTGAGATGGCCTCACCATCTGGTCAGACCTGATTTTATACTAATCTAATCATTCATGACCTTTACTGGCCTTTGCATGGAGGAATTGTCATTCGTGGCACATCTACTGCGATCAAATACAAAATCTTTGCAACAGATTGTGATCTCTGCTCGGCTTTGTTACTTTGTACTGTAGGAGCTTACAGACACAGAGAGCCTAATCTTTTTTGCTAAGATATACCCTGTTCTTGTTTTCCCCTTTAGTTGCCATGTACAGACCACCTCCTGCACAATGAGTCTGTGCAAAGCTTGAAACCTCTTTTCTTTGGTTTGAATCCCCTTCCTTCACACATTTTCTGTACTTCTTTTGTGTTCATTTCAGTGCATATCACTTCCTTGAGAGTGTTGGTGTTTTTCTTCTATTTGTTGACTTGTGAAAATGGTTTTCTAAAAGTAGCATTGGTGATCTGTTTGTCTGTTGATTTTTCACCCAAAAAAAAAAAATTAAAGAAAGGAACAGTGTTAAAAAAGCAGAACAGTGTAAAAGGAAAAAAACAGGGACCCTGTCTTGGATGTAAAGCATTAGACTCAGGACAGGACAGAGTTCAGCTTCAGTTCGCTGAGGTAAATAAAATATTAAGCAAACCCTCCTCCCTTAATGGAAAATTTGAGATTGTCCAACAATTTACAAAACCGCTAAAGAAAAAGAAAGTCAACATAAACTGAGTTAGCAGTATGCCCTGATGTGCTTTATGCTGATAGTGCATCTTTTCCGAGGCTGTCTTAGTGAATTTCAATTTAAAGATTCTCAACAAAATATGCTGCATATTTTGAAAAAACAAACAAATTCCGAACTGTTTGACATCCAATAAATGTGAGGACTTGGCTACTGTTAAAGGGAAAGAGGAATAATTAGATGTGAGAAAATGCATGCGAGTTGTGCAAGTTACTGGGCCTTTTTTTGGGAGAAGGAGTTAATGTGTGAGAGCATGAAATGACTCCTGAGGGGCAGACCGGCTTCTGTGCACAAAACTGCATCCTGTCACAATCCAATTACTTTTCCATTTCCTGCGTGCCCTGTGGTCTCGTTGTTGTGCGCGGCGTTTAAATACCGCGGGACAATCCCGCATGCATCGACACACAGGCGCGCAGGCAGGAGAGGCTGGCCTGTAACTGTGCTACCCCCATCCATGAAATATTTATTCAGACAGGGTATTTACACCAGTTAAGTGATTTTCTGGAGGGTTGCAGACGCGGTTATGGAAATTGGATAACAGCAGGGGGTGGGAGGTAAAATGAGAAAAAGTTATTTTTTCAACTATAAATTCAAACAAGCTTGCCATGAGCAAGATGGCTAAATAAACAGTACTGGAAAAGGGGGTTTGGATTAAATGGAAACGAGTGAAAACACATCCTGTGTTTCCTATACTCTGAGTTTTTATCCTTTCGTATCCTGGCAGATTGTAGAGGAAGAAAAGGATGACAACAATCCTTCAACAACCTCTCAACTATTAGCATCTGTCTTGACTCGGGTTAATGCTGGTTGCAGTATCTCCCCAATTACCAGAATCTGGCACAATCAATCAAAACAGGTGCTGTTGACAAATAGGTTTAACCTTTGATATAACGAATTACCAATCAACCATTATCTATTTCTGCCGCCCCGTGTATCATAAAACTGAATGAATTGGTAGATGAATGACTAGCCGAGTCAATTAAATCTTCGCTTGATTCATTAAAGACTTCCCTCAAATCCTCTCCTTTTTTATCCCTATCTTCCTCATTCATGTCACTCAAACGACAAGCTCCTGACCCTGCAGAGATTACTGATTTGCTTGTGTGTTTGGGTCATGCTCTGCCTTTTTATTATTATTGTTTTGTTGTTTTTTTTCCACTCATGTAGGCAGATTTTTTTTGGAGCGATCAGACCAATCTGCTGCACTGGGAACGGTCCATCGTTGAGGAGAGGTGGAGGGTATGGAAGGCAACATTTTCCCTTCCCTCCCCTCGATCTTTATCACCGAGGGGGCCGGAGTGTGTGCTGGCAGGCGAGGTGAATGCAGAGGTGGTAGGAGTGTGTGTACATGTCTGAGGGGGGTATGTGTGTGCACGCATGTGGAA